GCACCCAAGCCCGCTGCCAGGAAGACAGAGGTTTTACTAAGCTGTCTTTCCCCCTCCAGTCCCTACCAGCCTGCAGCCAGGGCTCCCCAGGGCATCTCTGTCCCAGGCAGGCAGCACAGAACTTGGTGGGCTTGGGACTGGCGAGGGTTTGTGACACCTCAGCCCCGAGCAGAGGGAGCACCCAGCCCGCCCCAGGTCCCCACACAGCCCCACTCACCCGGTGTGGTAGAGGTTGAAGATGAAGCCGGGCCCTGGGGAGGCAGGAAGGAGGTATCAGAGCGCCATGAACTCACCTTCACTTTGCTATGAGTCTGCACAGCAGCGTGGGGATGGGCTGTTCTGCTCAGCAGCATGGGGATGGTCTGGACAGCCAGCGGGACAGCCATCCGCACTGGGACGTCACTGTGCATCCTCCTCCTCAGCCTCTGTGCAGCCCTCCCTGCCCGCTGCTGCCCGTTGCACCACCCCACCCGTACTCACGGCGCCGACACCAGCCCCTCTGGTACCACCGCACGAAGGCGTAGCCGAACAGCACCAGCATCAGCAAGGCCAGCCCCACACCCAAGACAACCGCCAGTGCGTTGACGGGCTCTTGCCCTGTAAAGCAGAGGGAGAAGAGGCTCTGTACACACGCCCCTGGGAGGCTGGGGGTCCTGATCATCCCCTGGGTGGGGGACAGGACCGCTGTGGGACTGGGATGTGTCCCTCTACCCTGTGCAAGGCTGGTGAGCATTGTGGCATAGAGATTTTTTGCTAGCCCCTAAGCCCCGTGCTGGAAGGTGCCACAGTGGTGGCACTGATGCTGGCTGTCCCTGTGCCCTGCAGCGCCACAGCCTGCCCTGTCCCACAGCGTCCCTGCACAGCGGCACAGACCCATTTCTGGACAGGCAGTTCCCTCTAGAGGATGCATCACTCAGGGCAAGCAGCATTTTACTGCTGCCGCCAGGCTGGCACCAGTGACAAGGGCTGTGCATGGCCTCTGTGCCAGCACTGCGCCCCTCCGTCCTTGTGGGGTGTGGCGAAGCCCAACGCTGCCGGCTTTGTCAAGGGGACACCGACATGCCCAGGCACCGCACAGCCGATGAGTAGCTGTTTCCCTGCTGACAGCAGGTTCCCTGCTGCACAGAGCACAGCTTGGGCAATGAACAGCCCTGGGCTTGCTCATCACACCTCTCTCCAGCTGCCACCAGCTTCTGCTCTCTCAAACCCCTCTGCAAACACTACCCTGGACCCTTCTCCGTGAGCCCATCACCTGGGCACCACAGCCTCTTGCATATTCACCCACACCCCAGCATCCCCCCCGACCAGTAAACTGCCCAGTCAGTCCCAGTGTGGCCCATTAGCAAAGCGCAGGCAGGCTGGTGATGGGCACAGTTCTGGGGGCTGCTGTGGCCAGGAGGGGACAGAAGGTTTGGCCACTGCCCTGGAGCGAGGCCAGCCCTGCAGCCCTTGGGGCAGGTGCCGGGTGCAGAGAGCAGTGTCATGCCTTGAGCACCTGGAGTGAGGAGGCAGCGGAAAAGGATGACCTAACAGCAGCTAAATTTAGACAGATGCCGGTGCAATGAGAACATTTCCCCTGTGGTCACAGTGTTTACATAGGGAGCAAGGTCCCAGGTCACCCTGCAGCACTTGCTTCACCCGACGGGATCCAACAAGAACCCGGGAGATGCCGAGCATCGCGCCACCAGCTCCCCAGTTGGATGAGCAGGACCAGCCTGCCCTTCCCTGCTGCTGGGCTCGGGAGACCAGGAGATGCGGGCAGCCAGTGCACCCTGCTTCTGCTGGGCCAGGGGTGGGCTGGGAGCTGCGGGACCCCAGGTCCCAGCATGGGCTGGCGTGGGTGAGGTCGGGGAGGCTGCTGCAGGAGTGACTCACGCAGAGAGATCTGTGGGAAGGAGGAGCGTGGTGCAAGAGCCTCCCTGAATCAGCCGGCTGCCGAAACTGCCCTCTCCCACGCCTACTGCCGGTGGGAGGATGACGGCTTCGTGCCCAGCTCCTGTCCCGTGCCACGCATGGGAGGTGCTCCGTGCCCCGACGCCCTCGGGAGCAGACATCCCCGCATCCCAGCGAGGTGCCTCCGAGCAGCACTGCTCCAGCCAGAGCCACAGCAGCAGCTGAGCCCCGAGCCCCAGCTCCACAGAGAGCCAAGAGGAGGGGAGGGTTACCAAGCCACTGCCCGTGCCACCAAACATCCCACCTCTGCCCCCAAAGGGGAGAAAAAAAAACACCTACTCACCCGCCCGGGGGTCCATCTTCCAGCACCGTGCCGCAGGAGCTGTTCACAGCCAGCCCAGGTGGGAGCTGCCGCAGCAGAGCCTGGCGTGCACTGGAGCCTGGCATGTCCTGCCTGTCCCCTCCTCTCCTGGTGACACAGCCACCTCAGCACCCATGCTGCAGCAAGGCCAGGCACCGCTCCTCACCTGCCGGTTCTACTGGTTCTGGGGGAGAAAGCAGAGGAGCTCCCGCAGATGTGCAATGGACGGTGCATCACCTGTGTCCCAGCCCGGGACGGCTGCTCCCAGCGCAGCCCAGCCTGCTGGCAGGGACAGGCACCTTGGCAGAGGCTGAACTGGTAGCACTGGGAACCTGTGGCACAGACACCATGGATACAGGGGTGTCCAACCCTGGCAAGGTGCCCGAGGGGCTGTGTCCTCCAACTGCCACCGCCTGGCAAAGAGCAGCAGCTGGGAGAGGGGCCAGGTCCCACGCAGAGCCTGGGCTTGGGCATTCAGGGATGCCCATAGGATGGCCACAAAAGTTATGGCCCTGCACAGGGCTGCCCCCAGTCACAGACACCTCACAGTACAATGCACTTACAGGTGTAATCATCTTCTCAAAGCCCCAGCCCCAGTGTTAGGCAGCAATCACCACCAGCTGGCAGAAAGAGGTGAAACCATCTCCTGTGGCTGCAGGTAGAAGGTAACAAACAGTGGTAACCATTAACAGCTCGGAAACTGGGCAGCCAGGGACAAAATCCCTCCCTGCTTTGCACCCCCAAGCTGCACAGGGTGGCCAGGGCAGGAGCCAAGCCCCCGAGCAGCCCTCCCCAGGAGCAAGCATCTCAGCACCGAGACCCAGGGGTGATGCCTGGGATGCAGGGGATGCTGGCTGGGATGCAGAGCCGGGACTGCTCCTTGCCAGGCAGTGGAAAGAAAGGGGACAGGGTGTGTGTTCACGCGGTTTTCTACACAGAGCTCTGGGCCAGCCCTGCCTGGCCTCTGCCTGACCCCGCACGGAGTCGAGTGCCTGGAAGCCTGCGTCACGCCGGGGCTCTGCGTGCAAGAGGCCAGGGAAGGGTGACGGGCTGGAAATGCAGCAGCCGCACTCCAGGAAGCAAAGCCCCGAAGGCGCGCAGAGCTGTGACATAACATCTACAAACCTCAGCTGCTTCCTCAAAGCCTTCGCTTAACCTCTAAGGAGGAAGAGCCGCTCCCCACCGTGCTGCCTCCCACCCGGGGATGCTCCTGGGCTGCTCGCCCTTCCACGACAGCGGGGCCAGGCCACTGCTGGCCCCTAAGTCCCCATCCCCTGAGTTCCTCCAGCCCAGGGCAGCTGCTCTGCCAGGGGATGGGGGTTGCCGGAGAAGGGCACGGCCAGCCCTGAGCTCACACCGCGGTCCCCCCTTCACAGACTTGCTTGCACTCCATGTTGCCAGGAGCGACCCGGGGCTGCACAGGGACACGCAGACCGAGTGACCTGAGAGACGGGAGCAGAGCATGGCCCAGTAACCTCATGCCTAAACTCTTCTCATTTCCTCCTCCACCTACTAAAATCTTTGTTTAGAAACAAGCCGATGCAATGCGGAAGAGACGGACAAAGAGCGGGATGGCTGTGGTTCCTCTTATCATCAGGA